ACGGCTCGCAGACCGGCACAGCAGAGGAATACGCCATCCGTCTCGCCAAGGAGGCGAAATCCCGCTTCGGCCTCGCGTCGCTCGTGTGCGACCCCGAGGAATACGACTTTGAGAACTTGGACGAGATTCCAGAAGACTCGTGTGTCATCTTTGTCGTGGCCACCTACGGCGAGGGCGAGCCGACGGACAACGCGGTCCAGCTCATGCAGAACCTCTCCGACGACTCGTTCGCTTTCTCTAAGGGCGAGCACCGGCTCGAGGGTCTTAAATATGTTGTCTTCGGTCTCGGTAACAGGACGTACGAGCACTACAACGCTATCGCGCGCAAGGTCGACGCGCACCTCGAGGGTATGGGCGCGCAGCGCATTGGCGAGCGCGGCGAGGGCGACGACGACAAGAGCATGGAGGAGGACTACCTCGAGTGGAAGGAGAACATGTGGAAGGCGTTCGCGGAGACCATGGGCGTCGAGGAGGGCGTCGGCTCAGAGACCCCGGACTTCTCGGTCACGGAACTGCACTCCCATCCTCCCGAAAAGGTCTACCTCGGTGCGTACGCCCCCCGCAGGCGCGGATCGTCCGTATGCTGAACTATCACGCGCTCCCCGGTCCTTACCCCACAGGCGAACTCTCCGCGCGCGCACTGACCAAGGTGCGCGGGATCCACGACGCGAAGAACCCGTTCGCGGCCCCTATCACCAAGGCGTACGAGCTCTTTGCGATCAACGGCGACCGCAATTGCGTGCACGTCGAGCTCGACATCGAAGGTTCTGGAATCACCTACCAGCACGGCGATCATCTCGGCGTTTGGCCCTCGAATCCGGAGATAGAGGTCGATCGCTTGTTGTATGTCCTGGGACTCGGCGAGAAGAGCCGCCGCGAGCAGGTCATCGGCATCGAGTCGCTCGACCCTGCACTCGCAAAGGTGCCATTCCCCGTCCCGACGACGTATGAGACTGTCCTTCGCCACTATATCGATATCAGCGCCGTCGCCGGTCGCCAGATGCTCGGTGTTCTCGCCAAGTACGCGCCGACACCCGAGGCAGAGGCGCGGTTGCGCCAGCTGAACCAGGACAAGGAGGAGTACCACAACGTCGTTGGGCTGGGCTGTCTCAAGCTCGCCGAGGTCCTGCAGCTTGCAGCGGGCGACGACATCACGAAGGTCCCGACGGCCGAGAACACCACGGTGTGGAAGATCCCCTTCGACTTGATCGTGTCCAGCATCACTCGCCTCCAGCCGCGTTACTACTCCATCTCTTCTTCGCCCAAGATGCACCCTGGTGTTGTTCACCTCACCGCCGTCGTGCTCAAGTACCAGTCCGAGAGCGAGAAGGTGCCGCGGAAGTGGGTCTACGGTGTAGGTACAAACTTCCTGCTCAACCTCAAGTACGCTGCCAACAACGAAACGGCCTCCGTGCCGTTCATCACGGAGAACGGCTCGTCCGAGCCGGAGAGCGTTGCTTTCCCGCAGTACGCCATCGAGGGCCCGCGTAAGGCATACCGCCAGGAAACCATCTACAAGATCCCCGTCCATGTCCGCCGGTCCACGTTCCGTTTGCCAACGAACCCGAAGAGTCCGGTAATCATGGTTGGCCCTGGTACAGTGAGTGTTTTGTCTTCCAATGAGCAGCACGAAGACTGTTGCTGATTCCGCCCTCTTCTCCCTTCATAGGGTGTCGCGCCATTCCGTGGATTCGTCCAAGAGCGTGTCGCACTCGCAAAGCGCACAATAGAAAAGAACGGCCCGGACGCGCTCGCGGAGTGGGGGCGCATGACGCTCTTCTACGGTTGTCGCAAGCAGTCCGAGGACTTCCTGTACAGGGACGAGTGGCCCGAGTACCAGAAAGTGCTCGGCGACAAGTTCTCGCTGCAGGTCGCGTTCTCGCGCGACGGCGCGCGCAAGCCGGACGGCTCGAAGATCTACGTACAAGACCTCATCTGGGACGACCGCGCGAAGATCGCAGACGAGATTCTCGTCAAGAAGGGCTACGTGTACGTCTGCGGCGACGCGAAGAATATGAGCAAAGCCGTCGAGGAGACGCTTGCGCGCATTCTTGGCGAGGCAAAGGGCGGCTCTGCGGAGGTCGAGGGCGCGGCTGAGGTGAAGCAGCTCAAGGAGCGCTCGCGGTTGCTGCTCGACGTCTGGAGCTAGATGCGCAGTTCGTTCGATGTCGGGATGTGCTGGCTCAGATCTTGGAGGAGGACTGCGCTTCTCTGTCTCTGTCTCTGGAAGATGTGTGTCGTTGCATGCATGGTTTTGGCTTGTTTTCTCAATTAGTGGAGGTATTATCAGCCCCATCACGTACACAATCCCTCTCCTTATAGACTTATCATCGTCTGCACGGGGGAGTGTTGGCAACGAGCTGCATATAGACATGTAAAGAATTTATGGGCAGTCTTCGAGGTCTTGGCCGCGCAAGATTATTGAAGATACCGAACATTATCTCGAGAGTCCCGACTCGCACTTCTCACCCTCGACCACCTAGGCCTTACCGCTTGTATCGTCCTTGTCGAGTTGGAACTGCGTAGATGACGAACTCTGTGGCGGCACCAGAGATCAGCTGGGCTTAATGGACTACAACGAAAATCCTAGTCGCTCAGGCTTCGGACACTGATTCTTCCAGCAAGTGTATATTCGTGATAATATGCGCCTAGAAACTTGCGACAACATTGCGCTCACAGCCGTGACGGGAATTCAGACCTTCAGGTCTACCGGTTGCTTAACGACTTGCACTCCATTCTCAGAGGTGCCGCTCCCGATGTCGAGCCGCTCAAAGCTATCTGAAAGCGACGTGTCCGAGTTAGCCTTGGGGTCCTTTGCTTTCTTGGGCTCCGCTGTTGTCCTCAGTGGAATCTCGACGACGAGTCCGTCCTCAGCAGCAATGGCAACAGCATCCGCTCCGAGGACAGTCGCGGCCTGACGCTCGACCTCCTTCATCTTCTCCGTGCAGCGGCGGATGTAAGCCGGGTTGCCTTCATGCGGGATTCCTTGCAAGCTGGAGTTGAATGCGTCAGCGCGAGGCTACAGATTCGCAGGGAGCGGCGTACTTTTCGCCAAAGTAGTTCATGACGAGAACCCGAGCCCCGATCCGATGAGCAAATTGTCCGGCCATCGTGGGCGTCGAGTGTCCCCATTTGATCGCATGTCTTGCGGTGTCCTTCTCCCCTCTGACACCATCAACGTAGATGCCATTCCAAGTCTCCACAATCGGAGCCACTGTCGCCTCATGCACCAGGATGTCCGCGTTGCGAGCCAATTCCGCACAAGGACTGGCGTCGGAAGTTGTTCCCAGCACCACCACCTTGCGACCAGGAATACGAGGGAAGGGATCGAGAACGAACCGACCCTGCGCGAGCGTAACAGACTTGCCATTCCCAAGCTGTCTGAGCAAGTCGGCGTGTGTACGGAGGCCAGGTGGGAAGAGAGTCTCGGAGACGCAATGCAAGAGAGCCACATAGTCCTTCGAGGGCGGGATCGTAATATGCGGTTCCTGGAAGATGAAGCCCATAGAAGTTCCCGGAAAGGAAGTCACGAGTGGTCCAGCGCTCAGAGTCCAGCCATCGCTAGTAGTCTCAAACGACGGCCAAGTTCCATCCGCATTGGCGATAATGTCTCGTCCAAGTGCCTCGTTCATGTGAAGCGCCTCCTTGTTGCATGGGGTGTACTGCTCGCCATCTCTGAGAAGCTCGATGACCTCGTATTTGCCGACCAGCTCCGTGTTTGTAATGCTGAGGCAGTTGCGCACGAAAGCGCGGAGGCCTGCCGGCCCATATATACGAAGTCGGGTCTGAAGAGATGCCACAATCAGTGGAGGCATACACGGAGAATCCGCATTTGACGCACCTGGAGTTGACTGACGTGCTTGGACCTTGGGGCGTACATCTTCGTCAGGATGAGGGGTACGAGCCCGAACATGTGGTCAACTCGAGAGGATATCAGTAAGGTGCGCGGCCGGTATGTAGCGGAACACATACTTCGCAAACGTGTGATGAACACGCGCGTAACCTTCTCGGGTGAAGGCTGGCCGACACGCATCATCATATGTTGCGTCCCCTCCGCGCAGTCTACGACTGCACAGCGCATCAGCAAGAACGCAGATGGTAATAACATCGAGCTTACGCCAAGACTCATTCGGGAGGTTCAGAGCCGTCGCCAAACAGTTGCGCGTAGGGGAAGGGCCACCGCCAGCGGAGGTGCCGAGGAAAGTCAGGGAGAGCGGGCTTGACTCGATGTGCTGGGCCATGCTATGATTTGGGATGACGAAAGACGTCGCGATAAGGGTGCATTTATACGAGGAGGCTACCATTGTAAGTGGTCTGTGCATAAAGTTACAACGCGTTGTACTCACCCTGTTGTTCGTGCCGTTGCGCCTTTCGCTCCCACGCCAGAAACAACAGGAGGGACCCGAATCTGCTGCGCGAGAAGGTGCACGCGCATTGTAGCGTGTTGCCATGGCCGCAGAAATACGCAATGAGAACAGTCCGTTGCCACGTAGATGCTTCGTTGGCTGCAGAACAATGGCGAGATGAATCGGTTCTTAGAGCTCGGCCGGAATTCCGGGGACCCCGGAACCAGACAGCATCACTCGAGTTGTCGCATAGAACCAGCAGGCTGTTGTACTAACAGTGTCCTGGACGAAGAAGCAGCCGGCGATACGCCTGCCAAGTCATGCTCACGTTCAATATACAGACAGGTGGTGATAGTCCTGGCAGGGTCTCGCCGGTTTACGAAAACCAATTGACAGCCAGAATAGCGATTGGGCATGAGTCCGATGCTTTGAATACAGAGCGGAATCACGCTGGTAGAAGGTAGGATACAAGGTGCGGACGATGCCGGTCGGGACTTGGACCTCAACTTGAACTTGTACGTCGGTGACGACTTCGCATCCTAAAGGCCGCGATCCCTGCTCCGAAGACGGCAAGAGGCACAAGGCTCAAAATAATGGTTGAATCTCCAGAGCGTCCCACGACACGAGGAGACGCCGCAACAAGGGCAAAAAGGATGACCCGTAACGGGATCGAACCGTTGACCTTGTGGAGCTTCCAGATGCTGGAATCACACATTCTACCACTGAACTAACAGGTCGATGCAGGATGTTCACAAGATCCATATACAGCAATACTAAATAAGTCTACGAATCCAGTCATGGAAATGTGTACGAAGTGTGTCCGACTCGTAGATGACAGGAATAGACTGGAGATCTCATGAATCGTCTTCTGGTTCTACGTGCAAGAGATCTATGATCTCGCTCAGCTTCTGGTTACCACCCAGTCGCGCAATCTCGGCTCGAGCCTGCGACTCGAGGTTCTGCAACACACCACGCGTGTACGCGAAGGAGTTGGTCGTTTCGCGCATGTAGTTTACGACGTATTGCTTCATCGTCGGCGTCGTCGGACGTTTCTGCAGTACATCTTCGAGTGACGCTTGAGTTCAGGGTGGTGTACCAGGATGGTCGCGTACTCACTGAGGACTTGTCGATTGGACGTGTTCGCTCGTATCGAGTGCACGATGGGGAAGGAGAACTTGCCCTCCGTGAGGTCCTCGCAGAAACCTTTGTTGTCCGTGTACTTGGTAGACTGGAGGTTCATGTAGTCGTCGCGGATTTGGAAGTGTACGCCGATGAGGTTCGCTAACGGTACGAGATCACTGCAAGATGCTCAGCGCCGCATCATCAGGGAATGGGAGCGAGCTCTCGCGCACGTCGAGTTCTGGCTATGTGCCATCATGAGCTTGACGCCTATTCGTATGAGGCCGCCGGTCTCTGCGCATGTACGATGAACACGCGGACGGTGCGCGTGCTGCACACTCACTGTTGTTGACCATGCCGATGTACTCTTCCTCGGTTGGGCATGTTAGGCTGTCTCTCCAGAGTAACTCCAGTCCTTGCCCGCGATGTAAACTCAACAGTTCCTCTTAGACCATGGTCAGCATGCGAGAACCAGAGCCGAACACATGCGCTGACCATTTATGAGAGCGTCGATGTCTGGGACGTTCCCGCCGTTCTCTGATTTCAGCTGATCCCGCAGCTTGAATATCTCCTGGTAGGCGAGAAAGTAGACGTAGTTGGCAGAGTTGATCGCTTGCGGGATGCCATAGATCTTGTGCGCGACTGTAGGCGTTACACCTCAGCACCTGCGCACACGACTCGCAATGCAGCACGCACCTGGTACGCCTCGTCGCAGTTGCGAGTCGTCTTCCACGTCATCCATTCTGCAAGGCTAGTCAGCGCGGAATGCGCAGCAGCGACGTGAACGCACATGAGGCTGGCGGTGTGCAGCATGCGTACGATGCGGGCGATGATGTCGAGACGGTCCTGGGGCACTTGCAGCCAGACATTGAAAGCCTCGATGAGCTTGGTGCGTATCTCCTTGCCTGGCACGGATGTGATGTACTGGTACGGCTCCAGCAGCGCCTGGTGCAGCGGTCAGCACACGATGTCCAGCTGCGTGGTGCTGCCCGTACGGTCTCGTTATCGTCAGACCACGGCGCTGGCTGGCCTAGACGGTGCAGGAGGTCGTCGTAGAAAGACGACATGAGCAAGTGCAAGTGGCGATGGAAATGGACCTCTCCATGATTGCGTCTGGCGTGCTAAAGCGCCCGTCGCTCCGGAGCTTTCGGAATCAAGTCCGTTTCCCGGCTTTCCCTCCCGCCACCATGCCTGAAGAACCCGCGGACGACGACGGGGAAATGACCTACCCGGGTTTGTTAATCACTAGCTGGCATTGCGATCCCTGACGCGTCTGCAGCTCTGTCGCGCGCAATTGCTGACTTCCGTCTGTCCTCCACGCTCGCGCGCGTACACTGTCTGAGCGGGATGCAGTCGAGACTGCGATCCACACGCTGCTATGCATACGCGGCGTCTACCCGGACAACCTGTTTGTGAAACGACGAAGATTCGACGCGGTCGTATCGTACGCGCGACATCCGGCGTTGCGCGAGTACATCAAGCACGCGTGTAACGCGATCTACGAAGAGCTACTGCTCGTGCGTTACCACTTGAACTTGTATATCTGCTCGTTTGACGCGTCACCTGCTGTTTAGGGTAGCATAAATCGCGTCGCAGTTGTCATAACCGACGGCGAGGCCACGCTCGAACGTTTTGTCTTTGACGTCCGCAATATGGTCGCACCATCCGACGACGAGGGCACGTCAGTAGACATATCTGGTATGGGCTCGAGAGCCATGCTCACTAGATGCTGTCAGTATCCAAGGCGCGCCACAACGGAAAGCCCTCGCGCAACTGTTTCGCGGCTTCATGCTCAAGATCGGGAGCGTAACGGGCATGCTGCGTCCTCTCAACCTTTCAGGTACGTCCTGAAATTCCCTTATTGATATATCTAACGATTGTCACGTCTCTTACATGAGCAGACGACGCGTCCTTCTCCATCGTCATTGAACTCAAGGATAATATCGTCCCTACTGCTGCAGAGCCGTCGGTACGCGTCAACACTGGCTGATCCATCCTGGTTACTCATACTCGCGCATCTAGGAACCGCCGCCGTGGGTCCCCGCCGCACGAGCGCATACGACCGCTGGTGCGGCCGATGACCCATCTGCGCGCCTGCATTACGTCTCCGCCATCGAGACTGGAGTGATAAATGTCTGCACGTGCTCTCCGCTCTGAATCGTGTGCTGACAGTTTACAGGTCAGTCTGGCTGTACAAGAGACAGGCGTACTCCAGCAGCAATCGCAGGAAGCGTATACGTAGCTTTCTGTTTCAACATGTAACACTATGTATACATTACACCGCCCCGACTTTCCTCTGAACGAATAGTCAAATTGTCACAAAGGTAGCTAAGCCTTCAGACAATCGAGTTTCTTGGAATAGATCCTTGAACTCGCTGAGTCGACGCTGAGCGCTGACCTCTCAACCGGAATGCATCTGACGAATTCTCATGTGCAATGACGATCAGAAGATTACTTTCTCGATGGTGTTCACACAAGAAGAAAAAAAGTGTCCACGGGTGATGTATTACAATCGTGTATCAAGAGATTGGCGAGGCTCGATGGACCTCATTAAGTGGGCGGTAACGTATCAACGAGCGCGACGATACGCTCCTGCTTGACGGAGCGACTAGTACGTCGCCGCGCCGCGCCTCCGACCAGAACGTGCGCCGCCGCTGCGACGTCCACCGCATGCGCCGCAAGTCAAGAAGCCTATGATGGTGACGATGACGTTTGTGATAGCAGACACGATCGTCATGATGACTAGGAGGGCATTAGATGGCGTAGAGAATAAGGGAGAGACGGAGCTAACCATTGGCGATGGCGGAGATGACGGCGTTAATGCCACGTCCAATAGCGGAGAAGATAGAACCCTGTAACAGTGTCAGCGTACGATGACAGAGACGGGAAAAGGTGAAGCGCACCATGGTTGTAGTAGTTGGTAGTTGAGAGTTGTTCGTGAGAGGTCGTAAGAGAGATTCGATTTGTGAGGAGCCATCCACCGCCACCCGGTCCGCCTTTATACACCAGCCACAGCATCGCTGACGTCGCGCTACGTAGTCCGGTCTCGCTCTCACGCCGCGATGACGGTGGAGCAAGGCCAGGCACATGCTCCTCGGACGTGTGGACGGTGCAAATGACGTCAGGCAATCTCACTGCAGATTGACTCTGAGATGGCTTGTAACAGTGTGGCTGCGTCATGGACGTACGACCTTGGCCACGCTGTGCACGCACTTTGTGAAGAAGGAGGATCCTCGGGCAAAGTCCTGCGACCTCGTCCCTTGTCAATGTGCGCGTGCTATCTTGGTAACATACCCTTCCTCTTACGGCTGCGACTCCACAACAATGCTCGAGGTCGGAGGGTTCGCAATATGTTCCTGCCTGACGTCTGCGGTTACGCGGTGTTGGAGTGAGAGGGAGCCTGAGACCGTTGCCTAGAGCGCTGGAGACGGCCCTCCGCGACAAGGACTGACACTTGCTGGACATGTTCCCCAGCGCCAAAACCGCACTGCGCGGCGGCAATACGACCGTGACAGCCGCCGCAGTATTCTGGCGATCGGCGTCCGCGGTCATGGGGTCGCGGTTCCCAGCCCACGCTTCGCTCGCTCTCTGTCTCTGTTCGCCATGTCGCTGTGTAGGATCATCGCACGTACTCCCAGGCGCGCCGCACTGAGTCGGCGACTGCTCAATACGGCGCAAGGACCGACGCCGTCGTTGCCAGAGTTTAGTCTCGCGGGCAAGACATACGTCGTTACAGGAGGTGCTCGGGGACTCGGTCTGACCCAGGCTGAAGCCATCCTGGAAGCCGGTGGACGAGGTAGGGTAGCCTGGACTCTCCATACGCGCGCGTCTGAAAGGATTTCGTGTGCCACAGTTTATGCGCTCGACATGCTACAACAGCCGTCGCCCGACTTTGAGCGCATCGCGGCGCGCGCCAAGAGCGAGCTCGGGACGTACCTCGAGTACATCCCCTCGGACGTACGCGAGACGGACGTCTTGAACGGGACGATGGAGCATATCGTGCGCAAAGAGGGGCGGCTCGACGGACTCATCGCAGCAGCGGGCATCCAGCAAGAGACTCCGGCGCTCGAGTATACGGCGGAAGATGCGAACAAGATGCTCGCTACGAACGTTACGGGGGTGTTCATGAGCGCCCAGGCGGTTGCGCGCCAGCTTGTCAAGCTCGGCACGGGTGGGAGCATCGTACTCATCGCAAGCATGAGCGGGACTATCGCGAACAAGGTAAGGGCTGTGCCCTCTCTGAGCGTCAGAGTCGCCTCAGCTTCGCCAAGGGCTTGATCTGTCCGGCGTATAACGCTTCGAAGGCTGGTGCGTGCGACTGCCAATCAGTACGGTTGCCCAGACCCCTCATGACAAGGCAGCGGTAGTACAGCTCGGGCGCAACCTGGCGTGTGAATGGGGCCAGCACGGCATCCGGTACGAGAGCGGCGAAAGCTTGCGCAGAGGCTGATGGCCATGACTGTAGAGTCAACACAATTTCCCCCGGGTACATCGTGACCGAGATGGTGGAGGCGCTGTTCAGAACGCACCCCGAACGGCGCGCCGAATGGGCGACGCAGAACCCGCTCGGGAGGCTTTCGTCGCCGCGGGAGTTCAGGTGCGTCGAAATCTAGACAAC